ATCCATGTGTTTTTCTTGGTAATAATAGAATCGGGTTGCCGTCACCTTCTAAGACACTTTGTGACTTCTCAATCTAGCCTACAACCCTGGGACATCCTGGCTAACGCATTCTGCCATACTCTTAAAACCGATTATAAATTTCCATGACTTTTGTCTCTGCACCATTTGCTGTTTATTGCTTCTATATTTTATAAGCTGAGAAAGCTTCATTTTACGGCTTTTTTTTTTTTTTACTCTATCACTGCAATTTCTTGTTTGCGAGCTGCTTAAAGTTGTGATGAGTGAGATAAAAGCCTTCCTAAACAAACAAAAAAGTAAATAATGCAGTGCTTGTGCAATGCATTTTCTTGAACTCTCTTACTGTTTATCAGATTCTATAACATATCTTGCAATTTAAAGTTTTTAAATTTTAGATTTCCCCTAATCTTTAGTTATCTCTAATACGCTTTGATTTTCATCATGTAATCAGCCTAACAATATACAGGCATGCAACCTTCACAATCTTGGAACATATGCAAGCAGGTCTATGCAAGCAAACATTTGGTTCCCTGCTTGATTTTGGCTTTTTGTTTTTCTCCTGATTGGCTCCTGTGCCTCATTTCTCCCTCAGCGACGTATAGCATCTTCTAGAGTGAACTAACCATGATTGTGTCAGAATAACAGCAGTGTGGGTAGGCTTTGTATCACTTCAACAAGGCCTGAGAAATGCTTTGAAGATGCTGTAAGTTACCGGTGGGGAAATGGGCTAAGATCAGTACAGTATAACAAACACAAATCTTCCCATAGGAAGTTTGTCAAAAGAATTCTGTGAGGAAAATCCTACAACCCCAAGACTTACTATACTGAGATCTACTATAGAAAAAAGAACACAAGCTACAAACATGTATATGGACAGAAACATGATGCGATACACCCAGACAAATATGATTTCCAGGTAGTGCTGAAAGGGTCAGGGCTATTTCTCCGTTGCCCAACTTGCCTTCTGATCAGGTGTGTCACACAGACTTTAGTTTAGAGTTGAGTTGAAATACTTTTGTGGGAAGAAGCAGGGGGAGATGTCAGAATCAGCAGGATGGCGGACATTGTGATGCAAGCCCTGACCTTTTTGAAGAAGTTGTGATGTTGTGTATGCATTCCAAAGGGGCGGGCTCTGTCTGCCATCTTGCCAGTTTTAACACACAACCCAGATCGTGCTTGGGAGAAGAATAGAGGTGATCACCCTGTAGTTTCTCTCTTCTCTCCAAAACTGTGTTCTGAGGTGCTTTTGAACGTTAGAAAATGACTGCTAACATTTTGAAAAGGAGCTGCCTCATTTGTTACCTTCTTGGACTGCTTTTATAGTGGACGACAGCAGAGGAAGATACTGCCGATAGAAACATATTCCTGCAGAACTTCTTTGCCCAGTTTTTTGTATTCAAGAATGAGGATCAGGATAGGAGTGTGTTTGGCCCAATCCCTAATCAAATCAACCTATTTTTGTAAGTGCATAAAATGCAGAAGGACCCTTAGCAAATTACCAAAACTGAACCAGGACTGCAGTGGCTTGGAAGTGAAACCAGTGCTTCTGATGCTGCTGAAAAGCAGGCTGTTTCAGATTTTGCTTCTCTAGAAAACACCAGATTAGGAGCGAAATGTGACTGACTTACAGACAGTTCTGCCTTCTGATTATAGAAAATAGTTCAGTAGAGACTTTCCAATCATAGTGTTGGGGCTGGGAGGAATTGCGGAATCCTTGGTTCCATGTTCCCAAATCAAAGGAGAAAGATTTTTCCCCCTTTTTTAATAAAATGATCAGAACTTA